AAAAGGCTACAGACGTATTGTCACCTTTGAGGACTAGGATGGAATGCCTCATAACCTGTAATTAAACTGGCTGTAACTATACGTGCAAAGATTGCTATTTGGTGGCAGGAATAGGTATGAGAATGGCACCTGGCACACGAACATTAATTTCCAGGCACAATTGAAATCCTACCACGTAAAAAATGAAAAGAATAATGTATGTGTTGTTGTTGTTGTTGTTTTTTTTTTATAGAACAGGGGGTAAACGAGCATACGGTGTTCACCTGATGTTAAGTGACTACCGCCGCCCATGAACAACCGCAACACCAGGGGAATTGCAGGTGCGTTGCCGGCCCGTTAGTAAGAAGTAAGCTCTTTTCTTGAAGAAGTGTTGTTTACAGATGGTATCGTTCTAGGTTTTTCTCACGTCAAAGGTCCTACCTGTTACTACTGCACTCCCAGGACACCTGCAATTAACAGTTCTTCAAAATCAACAACAAACCATCTCATTTTGCTTACAAACACACTAATGCTAATGTCTCAAGCTTTATTCCTACAAAATAGAACAAATTTCACCAGCCGTGAGTATTTTGTTAATTAACTAAATAGTCGTATGGTCATTCAAAAAGTATAATAATTCCACTATCGCAAACAAGAATTAACTAAGTAGATTGTCGTTAGGAATCTGAATCATCGCGAGTGAGGGGCATGGTCACCATATTATCACTTTGCGAGAACGTTCGCGGAATTATTTATGAATTAAGTCACCTTTTTCATCAATGAATTTGCACATAAGATTAAATGGACAAGGGAATAAATAAAATTAACCTTTTACACATATGTTTCATTTCATTCTTTTTATTTTATTTTAATTTTTATAGGATAAGGATGACAAACGAGCACACAGTCTACCTGATAGGTAAATGGTTGCTGTGGCCCATTCCCTTCGGTTTGCTCGTCAATGTCGATACGACAGTGTCGCTACATGCTTATAGAGTTTCCTTAATAACTTCACTGCCCGTTGTCCACATGAACAATGGCACAAATAAATACGAGTACTTATTGAGACTACAGTTTTTTATTTGTAGTTAATTTTGAGAACCCGGGTATATAACGGTATACTCCGTCAGCAACTTGGACCACTCGTACAGGAAGGAAGCGTTTAACATTCATCCGTCGTCTCGCCGATTGTTACGATATCTTGACGAATCTGAAGGACGCCGACTAATATAACTACCTAACATCAAAAAACTATTGTTTTAATTATTCAATCTAAATCTTTACGAGAATCCATCAATTAATTTATTTATAATTTGAAGAATTGAGACAGAGAGAGAGCGAGAGAGAGAGAGAGAGAGGGAGAAAGAGCTGCTATTCTCACAAAATACCAGCGTAAAAAAATACGGTTGACCTTACAGGCCATCCCTGCAGCTTCCTGTTCAAATTTCACCTGTTACGTTTTTGAGCTACTCGAGCTTTTTAATTTTGATGCGGTTTGCGGCAATCGACGCAGTTTTTTTGAGCTTAACAAAAACAATCGCAAAAACATTGATATGACGAAATTTTTTTTAAGTTACTAAAAAAAACCACTATTTCGAGATTTTTTTTCAACAACGATAACTCGAACGAATCAATAAATTTTGATGCAATTTACAGCAATCGACGTTGGTGTTAGTAGTAGAAGAGCTGATTAAATTATAGAATTGTTTAAAAGTAGGGTGTCGATGTGATTCAGAGAAATAAACTTTTTGAAAATAAAAAAACTCGATCTTTTGAGGTTTTCTCAGAATCTACCGTGCCGAGTCGGTCTAAATTCACAAAACAAATCTAAGTTATACACACACACACACACGCGCGCGCGCGCGCACACACGTGCATGTGCACGCGTACACGCACACGCACACGCACACGCACACGCACACGCACACGCACACGTACACGCACACGCACACACGCACACGCACACGCACACACGTACGCGCACACACTCACGCACACACACACGCACACACACACACATAAACACACACACACACTCCGCGCGCGCACATACATACGCGCACACACACTCGCGCACACACACGCCACACACACGCACACACGCAGCACGCACATACGCACACAACGCACGCACGCACACACACACACACACACACACACACACACACACACACACACACACACACGCACGCACACACACACACACACGCACACATACAAACAAGCACAAACTCACACATGCGGATACGGATATTCGCAAAAATAGCCAGAATAGCTTCCTAGGACCTGGAACCGTCGAGATCTCTCTGCAAACATGTCAGAGGCGCTATAATACCGAGGCAACCCAACCTAATTCTCAACGCATTATTGTATTGGACGCGCAGATCATTGTATGCCCTCCGTGTATAGTTCGCCTACAGGCTGCGTGTATCATGTAGGACTGACAATATGCTTCGAAAAGCTTAACCTTAACCTGTTTTGTGCAGCGTTCTAACCCGCGAGCCAACATATTACATCGGACAGCCAACGATCTGCGCACCCACTTTATATCAGTATTATCAGTTAGGTTTTCAGTGACCTAGTGGCCCAAGTACTTAAATTTCTCAACTCTATTCAGACTACAACCACAGGGTGTGACATTTCGTAGTGAGTAGCACTCTCTGACTGCCTTGAAAAAATCATTATTTCACCTTTCTTTGTGTTGCACTTTAGCCCGTGGGTCTCGGCGTAAGACTCAAATACCCTTATCCGTATCTTCAATGCACCGATTGACGGGCTCAGCAAGCTCATGTCGTCTGCGTAGCATATATTATTGATGCATACACCGTCAATATGTCATCCAACTTTGTTTTTTACTATAGGATAGGGTGACAAACGAACATACAGTCCATCCGATGGTAAATGGTTGCTGTGGCCCATAGACATCTATATCTGTCCTCGATTACGAATCAAAATTCAGATGTGTTATCACCCGTGAGGACTAAGATGGAATACCTCGTTTCCAGTAAAAAGGATCTCCGGCTCTCTACACTCACCATACGAAACACAACAGCATTAAGCTACTATTTTACGCAGTTATTCTGTGAGAACCTGGTCCTTCCCGGTAAAAAAATGCCGAACGCTTTGTGACCCGGGAGGACTAAGATGCATTATTGTCATCGTCATTACAGCCCTCACAAGTCACAAGTCTACTGCTGAACATAGGCCTTCCTGCATTCCTTTTTGTGTGTGTATAACTTAGATTTGTTTTGTGAATTTAGACCGACTCGGCACGGTAGATTCTGAGAAAACCTCAAAAGATCGAGTTTTTTTAATTTTCAAAAAGTTTATTTCTCTGAATCACTTCGACACCCTACTTTTAAACAATTCTATAATTTAATCAGCTCTTCTACTACTAACACCAACGTCGATTGCTGTAAACTGCATCAAAATTTATTGATTCGTTCGAGTTATCGTTGTTGAAAAAAAATCTCGAAATAGTGGTTTTTTTTTTAATAACTTAAAAAAATTTTGTCATATCAATGTTTTTGCGATTGTTTTTGTTAAGCTCAAAAAAAACTGCGTCGATTGCCGCAAACCGCATTAAAATTAAAAAGCTCGAGTAGCTCAAAAACGTAACAGGTGAAATTTGAACAGGAAGCTGCAGGGATGGCCTGTAAGGTCAACCGTATTTTTTACGCTGGTATTTTGTGAGAATAGCAGCTCTTTCTCCCTCTCTCTCTCTCTCTCGCTCTCTCTCTGTCTCAATTCTTCAAATTATAAATAAATTAATTGATGGATTCTCGTAAAGATTTAGATTGAACAATTAAAACACATAGTTTTTTGATGTTAGGTAGTTATATAATATTAGTCGGCGTCCTTCAGATTCGTCAAGATATCGTAACAATCGGCGAGACGACGGATGAACGTTAAACGCTTCCTTCCTGTGCGAGTGGTCCAAGTTGCTGACGGAGTATACCGTTATATACCCGGGTTCTCAAAATTAACTACAAATAAAAAACTATAGTCTCAATAAGTACTCGTATTTATTTGTGCCATTGTTCATGTGGACAACGGGCAGTGAAGTTATTAAGGAAACTCTATAAGCATGTAGCGACACTGGCGTATCGATATTGACAAGCAAACCGAACCGAAGCCTGAATCACGCTATCGAGATTATAAATGTTACCAAAAGGTAACATTTATAAATTCTGTTCCGTACAGTCTGAAGTTCGTTGGAATGCATCGCTTGCTCTATAACCGTAGATAATTTTTTGTAATATGGGAAGTGGTAGGCCCCTTGTTTTTTGCCTTGTTATTTGCCCCCTGTGACCCCAAGAAATCAAGGAGACTTATTAACTGAAATATGTTCCACAATAAATTACCCAGCCCCATAAATATTGAAGATATAATTAGTAGTACTTATTGTTACTGCCATGACTTATTATAATGGAATCGCAATCTATACAAATAAATAAAATTTAAGTGTCTATTTGTAACGCCAAAATAACAGATGTTTCTAAATGCACATGAAAGTAGGTATATACGGTACTATTAACAAAAATACAATTTCTAAAATTTTTGTCTGTCTGTCTGTCTGTTTGTTTCGGCTGGACCGATTTTGACGGGACTTTCACTGGCAGATAGCTGATGTTATAAGGAGTAACTTAGGCTATTTTTATTTTAGAAAAAAGAATTAGGGTCACGCCAAAAAAGTTAAAACCCTAAGTAACACACGTACGAAGTTGCGGGGAACAACTAGTCATACAATAATATAACTTCTAATTGTAATATCTATAAGCTACCGTTAATAATTAATCGTTATACCATTGAAAATACTAGATACATGAATTTAGTTATGTTATCAAATTTATGTAAAAATCAACAAGTTTCATACATAACGAGCACACTTTCGATAAAATAGTAGACTCATTAAAAATAACAAATAAAGTGAAATTATTTATTAAACATATTCTTTGTCGCGATTAGCAATGATTAATGTGGAAACCAACATTGTTTACTATAAAACTAATACTTAACAGCTTTGGATATTCGAGGCACGCGCATCCAATTTTCCTGAAGCATTCGCACAATTTGCACAAAGATCTTCCGGTCTGGTTAAAGAATAAACGACAATTGAGAATCGACATTTGCATCGACCATATTGTACCGACCGCGACCGTTTAATGGTCGCGGTGTAAGAATATCAACTATCCCATACCATCCTGTTTGTCGTAAGAGACGACAGAGGACAATAAACGAGGAGATGAGCAGCAGCATCTTCGTAATAGCAAACAGACAATAAAGAAACAACAGTCGTCAACCCGCCTGCCAAAATGGGCAACCATCCATCCTGTAAGGAGGCATCTGTTCAGCAGTGGACTTCGATAGAATGGAACGAATGAATGAATGAATATTTTACTATATAACACTTTAAATTACAAACTAAAAAATTCAGTATTTTGACGTTTTTTGGACTCAACACGATCGAGTAGTTTATATTATTTTTAAGTGTATACATGTATATACTATACAATTGTTTATATTATTCGTAAACCAATCAGATTTATTTATACAAGTATAGGCACAACCATTTTACTTTACTTATGAATAGTTCCCCCATAACTCGAATTAATTATAAGCGATTTACTTTTATTATGACAAATTTAATGAAAATGAAATAACATGTATATAAATAAATACAGGCCATACTTGTACAAGCTGTTATAATTATCACGTTTTCTATGTCAAATTTAAATAAGTAGGAATTAAACGAGTCAATGACCATCTATCAAGTTTAATCTTTGACCTGCGCAAGCGCATTATAAATACTAATAAAGGTCGTAATACACAGTCCATCCATTCGTTCAGACCATCAGTTGATCAGTTCATTACTGACGCGCGAGTGGTTACAACGCTAGCGCGCGAAAATACATCATCAAACAAACCATAGTAGACTTTTAAAACATCAAAATGCTATTCTTCATCACCGTCGTTGTGCTGCTGGCCAGTGCTCAAGCCAAGTTCTACTCGGATTGCGGTATTTATATTAAATGTTTTATCTGTTATTTTAGCTTTGCTTTGTACTCTTTTTAGGGTTCAATTGTCAATAACTAAAACACGATGATTTTATTACCTTGAAAAGGAACTTGCAATGCATCGCTCTCCTTTAGGGTTCATTTAAGGGACCCATAAAATTTTGTTTATCTTATTTATCTTAAAATTTGTCCTTAAATTTTGTTTTATCATTATAATTTTAAAAAAAGTAATAATTTATTTTTAGTTGTGATGAACATATTATATTACAAGTTTTATTTTATATTCGATAGCAGCCAGTGCGACATACCTACATAGCTCTTAATTATAATGACGGCGGTGAATGTTGTCTAGTTTACTGTCCACCACCGTACCATTAATATATTAAATATTAGAAAATGTTTAAATAGTCCGCAAACATAAACGTTAATTTATGTATATATCACATTTTGCGCTTGGCTTTATTATCTGTTGTTTGGAACACTTTATTTTTATAAAGTTGTCTGTTTGTTGATAATTATTATTTTGTAAATAAAAACTTACTTAGTATTTATTTCAGTCATTATATAGAATACCTAGTAAAGACCTAGTCATTCTATACAATTTATACAGATCCGTCAAGGCAATGTACAAAACATTTTTATCTATTGTTAACCGTTTTTATATATTATGTTACCTTGGCAATGTATGTATATAATAGAGACCGAGTAAATTATAACATGATGGACAAATAAATCTTTTTTAATCACAAAAATATTATATATAATGTATAAAAATTAACATTACATCCCCGAATTAATGAAATAATTTTCGAAAATACAAACACTTAGGTATCAAATATTAGTAATTTGAAGGCTCCGTAGTGCAGCTGCTTAGGAATGAGTTGAAGCGCTGAGGCCCGCGGGTTCAAAATTCAGTACGGAACAACTGTTTATATATATTATTATTTTTCCGCGTCTAATTGTTTGTCCTCGTCAAATTTATGTATGTACTTAAAGTACCCCCACGATACAGGAGAAAATTTTAGTTTAATTGATCACTAAAAGTAGGTTAATCTATAGACACGTGCAAATATCCTGTACCTTTCAACGAGCAATTCTTATATATACATACATACATATATATATATATATATATATATATATATATATATATATATATATATATATATATATATATATATGTATTCTTCTGCCACACCCAACTTTCACTACCATACGTTAAAGTAGGGACCAACACAGCATTGTGAATTGCCATACGTGCCTTTTTTGACACGTTTTGACTCTTCACAATAGAGCGTAGGGCCCCATTTACTCTGTTTCTTGTGTTCACTCGTCGTTCTATATCCTTATCATATCTCCCATCCCTGCTAAATACGCAACCCAAATATACAAACTCATCTACTTGCTCGATCAACTCCCCATCTATTCTTATTTCACATATCGTTTTACTTTCATCTCTTTCAATAACCACAATTTTCGTCTTACTTGCGTTCACTTTCATACCCCTTTCTTTTAATGATCTGTTCATTAATGTAACCATCATTTGCAACTCAGCCGCCGACGACGCAAGAATTACTTGATCATCGGCGTACAAAAGGCATTTGATGGTTAACTCACCCATTCTTAATCCGCATTCAACTTTTTTCATTCAACTTTCAAATTTTGCAAACAACTGTCCATAAATAGGTTGAACAACCACGGGGAAGCCACACAGCCCTGTCTGACACCTTTATGGATGCCAAACCAGTCCGAGTAGACCCCGTTGATCCTAACACAAGCACTAGAGTCCCTATAAAGAGATTCCAATGCCCGTATCAAGCCAGCGCTCAACCCAAATGAGTTCAGTGTTTGCCATAGCACATTCCTATCCACTCTGTCATAGGCCTTCTCCAAGTCCATGAACGCACAAAAAACCTTTTGGTTTTTGGCCAAAAACTTCTCCGCGATCATGCGCATGGAGAAGACTTGATCTGCACATCCCATTCCCTTTCTAAATCCCGCTTGCACATCCCAAATTTTTCCATCGGTTTCTTTCATGACCCTTTCAATTAGTACCTTGGCATACAGTTTTCCCACGATGCTAAGAAGGCTGATACCGCGGTAGTTTTTACAGTCCTGCTGCGACCCTTTTCCCTTATATACTGGGACTATCACGGCGTTGCACCAGTCTCCCGGTACCCGATTCAGTTCCCAGCATAAATTAAACAAGGTGTGCAGCAGGCCTGCCACCACTTCCTCAACAGCCCTTAGCATTTCGAGTGAAACTCTATCATATCCGGCAGCCTTACCTGCTTTCATGCTTTTCATTGCTTTCATTATTTCATCTATACTTATCTCGCTACCTCCTTCCTCTTCTTTCGGAGTTCCTATTTCATTCAGTTCATACGTTGTCTCCTCACTCATAAACATGCTTTCAAAATATTCCTTCCATCTCTTTAAACTCAAAACTTCATCATTTAGAATATAGCCATTCTCATCTCTTATAGCATTCATTATAGGCTGTTTTGAACTTCCCCTGGCAGTTTTTACGAGTTTCCAGAACATTTTAATATTTGCCTGGAAGTTATCCGATATCCATTCTTTTACTCTTTTATTTAGATGTCTAAAGACTGCCTTTTTTCTTTCAAAATCATCATTCGTACCGCTAGAGTTACCAGCCTTAGTTGCTAGTAAATCTAGCCATGCTCTCTTCTTTGCTTCAACTTCCGTACGTATCTCATCATCCCACCATAACGTATTATTTTTCCTTTCATTCGTTCTTTTACTAACACCACATACTTCGGTAGCTGCATCTACTAAACCTTTCTTAACATTTTGCCATACATTCTCCAAGTCTAACTCATTCATACATAATTCATCCAAACCACTTACGTTTTATTAAATTTTAATTAGTTAATTTTTTTATTAGTTTTGAATATATATATATATAATCGGAATCTCGGAAACGGCTCCAACAATTTTCATAAAATTTAGTGTCCAGGGAGTTTCGGGGGCAATAAATAGATCTAGCTGGGATTTATTTTTAGAAAATGTCTTTTTTGTCCGTGTTTTCAGGCAATGAAAAACTGCTTCAATATAAGAAGGTAAATTTTGACACTGTGTTAATAATCGTAATAGCTCAAGTGGATATCGCGATATGGAGGTCGCGAAATTGTAGTGCCTTGGTTCGCGTCCTGTCTTCGGTCCGATTTTTTTCCTTTTTTTTCAAGTTATCTTCTTTTGTGAGAAAATCTATTATTTCGAGCCCTTTTTTAGTATTTTTTAAAAATACGAAAATTTTAATTAAACTAATTGCACTCATCATTTTTATTCAAATAACCAGTTCAGTTTTTTCTATTATGTCAATAAGATCAAAAAATATTATTTATGCTTCATCAGTATGTAATCTGTATATAAATGTAATTTCAAAAACAAAAACCGAGGAAAGCTCGGTCATCCGGGTACTCTTTACTAATATATTATAAATGCGAAAATCTTTGTTGGTTTGTTTTTGTCCTTCTATCATATAGCAACGGAGCAACGAAATGACATGATCTTTTGCATAAAGATAGTTTGCAGGCCGGAGAGTAACCTACTTTACTACTACTTACTACTTTATATCCCAGATGAATTTACGACTCTTTTAAAAAAGATGTAGAGTGTAATTCTATAATTAACTCTTCAAGCTTAAATGGTTGAACGGATTTTGATATCTTATTTCTTGTTGGATTGCTATTTCTACACATTAACACGTTTGAAAATATTGACACGTGTATTCATCATTCATCATCATTACAACCCTTCACAAGTCTACTGCTGAACATATGCCTTCCCAGTTGAATGCCACAAAGCACGGTCCTGAGCGACCTGCATCCATCGACTTCCTGCATGTCTTACCAGGTCGTCACTCCATCTAGTAGGGGGTCGCCCTACACTTCGCCTACCGGTACGAGGCTGCCACTCGAGAACCTTTTTTCCCCAACGGTAGTCGGTTCTTCGAGCTATATGGCCGGCCCATTGCCACTTCAGCTTACTAATCCGTTGGGCTACGTCGGTCACTCTGGTTCTTCGCCGACGGGTACGGGGCTACCACTCAAGAACCTTTCTTCCCA